GGACTTACCAGAGGCTTCAGGTCCTGCAGTCCCAGTGTGCTTTAGCACGAAGATAATGCTTTTCCTCATGGCTAACAGGCCAGCCAAGCAGCTTTGCTAAGAGTGGATTCTCTCCAAGCTCTGAGTCAGTCCAGGGCTCAGGCTTGCAGCCCCTTGATGACCGACCAGGGCTGGCAGGGGTCCTGGGAAGAGGTTTCCAAGTTTGAGGCATATGCTTTAACTTTCCCAGTGGCCCCCTGCTCTTCCCTGAGATGTCAGTGACTGGCTGGGTTTGAGCCTGGGTAGTTGGGTGATGCTGGTGCAGCTGAGGCTCCTCCAGAGCAAAGACAGCTTTTCTTTGTAATGTTCTGCAACGGAGATGAGCAGCCAGACTACAGCAGAGCCCAGGAGCACAAACCCAACTGGAAGTCGCTGCCTCCTCTTCACAGCGCCCAGCTTGCTGTGTCTAGCACATGCTGGGCTGTACCTCACCATCCGCAGCAGCAAGGAGGCCACTGGGCTGAGAGGCTGGCCAAGGCCATGACCCAGGCCCTCCCAGGGCATACTGGGAGCGGGGAGACTCCAGGCCAGAGGGCAGAGGTTGAGGTACCCAGCTTGGACCTAGTGACAGGCACACATACACACTCAATATGTATGTGTATACTCAGGTTCATGTACACACCTAACCCCTGTGCACCGGCCATACACAAGTCCCTTCGGTGGCCTGCATCTGAGGCTGACCCTACTGCTGTTCTTGGGTCACTTACTAATGAAGGCTCTGGTCTCTGCAGAAGGTACATCTCCTGTGGGCCCTCAGAATCTGAGTACCCCTACACAGTCACTGCCCAGCTGTGTCCACCGATCACCTCCACTCCACGTGTCCACTGATCACCTCCACTCCATGTGCCCACTGATCACCTCCACTCCACATGTCCACCGGTCACCTCCACTTCATGCATCTACTTCACTGATCACCTCCACTCTGTGTGTCCACCAATCACCTCCACTCCATGTGTCCACCAATCACCTCCACTCCACCAATCACCTCCACTCCACGTGTCCACCAATCACCTCCATTCCACAGGTCCACCAATCACCTCCACTCCACGTGTCCACGGATCACCTCCACTCCACGTGTCCACGGATCACCTCCACTCCGCGTGTCCACCGATCACCTCCACTCCATGTGTCCACCAATCACCTCCACTCCACGTGTCCACCAATCACCTCCACTCCACATGTCCACCGATCACCTCCACTCCACGTGTCCACTGATCACCTCCACTCCATGTGTCCACTGATCACCTCCACTCCATGTGTCCACGGATCACCTCCACTCCACGTGTCCACGGATCACCTCCACTCCATGTGTCCACTGATCACCTCCACTCCACATGTCCACCGATCACCTCCACTTCATGCATCTACTTCACTGATCACCTCCACTCCACGTGTCCACCAATCACCTCCACTCCATGTGTCCACCAATCACCTCCACTCCACGTGTCCACGGATCACCTCCACTCCACGTGTCCACGGATCACCTCCACTCCACGTGTCCACTGATCACCTCCACTCCATGTGTCCACTGATCACCTCCACTCCATGTGTCCACTGATCACCTCCACTCCGCGTGTCCACCGATCACCTCCACTCCATGTGTCCACTAATCACCTCCACTCCACGTGTCCACCAATCACCTCCACTCCACATGTCCACCGATCACCTCCACTCCACGTGTCCACTGATCACCTCCACTCCATGTGTCCACCAATCACCTCCACTCCACATGTCCACCAATCACCTCCACTCCACGTGTCCACTGATCACCTCCACTCCACATGTCCACCGATCACCTCCACTCCATGTGTCCACTTCACTGCTGGCCTCCACTCCATGCGCCTCCTTCACTAATCAGTCTGTCTCCAGTAGCTCTCCTGAGGGAGAGGAGCCTCCCCTACAGGCTAAGGGCTTAGCACCTCCTGTGAGCCCCCCACAGCCCTAGCGACCATCTGGAGGAAGACCCAGAAGAGAGGCCAGCCCTGAGCCTTACAGTAGGAGAATATGGGAATAACTGAGTCCCCAAGGAGAAGGAGCCATATGCCCCTCCCATCCCCTCACCACCCTTCAAAGTAGTGGAGACTCGGGACCTGCTCCACTCGGCATGGACAGAAGGATGGGGGCCAGTATGGATTGCATCTCCTCTTTCTTCAGGGAATGGTAGAGCCAGGAAGTGCCTTGTGTCCCAACCAGGTGTTCCTACATCTCAGTCATACGCTGAGCCCTCCTGGAGGCTTGAGAATAAGAAATAGCCAGAGGGAAGCAAAGCCCTGGCTTTGAGCATGGCAGGAGGTCCTGTGAGGCAGAGCCCTGCAGTGGGCCCTCCATTCACCCCACAGGCCACTGGCCCCTCTTAGATTCATCAGACAGACATGTGAGGCCACAACCCCGTGCTCAGCCCCTCTGGCTCTCTACCCCCGCTCCCTCCCCTAAGGCCCGGGGGAAGTCCCTCCCTCCCCTGCCTGACCCACTTCCTGGCCTGGAAAGTCTGAAGGGCCTGCGGCGCGCCTCCTGGACGCCCTGGCTCCCACCTCACTGGTGGAGGACTTCCCGCCCTACACAGTGGAAATGTGGGTCAGCATTTGTTCACCCTTGCCTGGGACCAGAGCCAGTGGAAGGAAAAACACCAGACCTAGACTGCTTGGCCCGGCCCCAGCCCCACAGCTCAAGGCTGTGGGCAGCCCCCCCAACTCCTGCAGGAAGACACTGAACACAGTGCTGCTGCCTGAGCCCATCCATGGTGGTCCTCTGTGGGGTGGACCTCTGTGGGGGAACCTCTGTGGGGTGGATCTCTGTGGGGTGGACCTCTGTGGGGTGGACCTCTGTGGGGTGGATCTCTGTGGGGTGGACCTCTGTGGGGTGGATCTCTGTGGGGTGGACCTCTGTGGGGTGGACCTCTGTGGGGTGGACCTCTGTGGGGGGAACCTCTGTGGGGTGGATCTCTG